TAAATTATTTATACAATAATTATATTAATTTACTTTTATTTAGTTAAAATAAAATAATTAAAATAAATATTTGCAAACAAAACCCCGGCGACAGATTCATTTGACTGGGTAGATAACTATAAAAATTATTATAAAAATTTTTACATGTAATTAAAAACTATATATTTTAATTAAATGTTACACTTTAAACATATGGTTTCAACTTTAAACGTGTTTTTGTGGTTAATATATGAGTTAGTTAGTGGAGGTTTGTCCTTAACGGGAACCCAACTATAATTTCAATTACTATTATTTTGTTTTAAAGCCATATTTAACAATATTTGAACATGTTCAATTTAATAATCATTATAGTTATCATTAATACAATCATACGTAAGTCAAAGATCTATTGAAAGTCTACATAACTTTCATAATTATGTTATAATTAAGAATTTTGTTAAATTTTATTTTATACTAAATTGAATGAATGTGTTATTTACAAAATTATGCAGTAATTGATCTTGGTCCACGCAACAAACAACAGTTTGACGCATCAATAATTCCTAAATTTACTGTTTCGCATAATGATTGTGGTAATCAGATTCATGATGGTCAATACGGCAACGGGTCAGGTATCATGTTATCACGTAGGTTTTGTTTGCAAATATTTATTTTAATTATTTTATTTTAACTAAATAAAAGTAAATTAATATAATTATTGTATAAATAATTTACTTTTATGTAAAATAGCTATATATTTAATTTAGTATATTTATATTTGATAGAATTATTTATTTTCAATTATTAAATAGACCAATAGTTTAAACAACATAAATCTTAACAACATTTCAAGTTTTAAGTAAAATTAGTTTTAAAAAAATAATTAAACAATGCGTGAAACTTATTAATTACATAAATAAATAATTTCCAGAAAATGTTTTCATTTTCTATAGATATGCTAATTTAGAAAAAATTAATTACAAAATATAATTATTAATTTAATCATTTAAAAAACTTTTCAAATTTTTTTAAACATAATAGTTTTGTCTTATTTTAGATTTATTTATTTTGTTGCTGATATTATCATCAGTCAGCCACTGGACCCCTGGCCGGCACTCGGGTTCTGCCTTAAGCTAAGCCATCACTAAACATAGCGTAATAGTCTCGGCAAACGCAGTGAACAAGGTGGAATTGAATAAATTAATTTAAACGATTAACACATTTTGTTATTAGAATCAAATCTTACAACTTTGCACTATGCACATCTCCATAGGATGTACATCCAATTGCACATATACAATTATAATAAATATTGTGACCAGGGACATTTACCACATCTCATATACCCTACGAATTACGGTATAGTAAATATTTTTTATTGGTTTTATTAAAACATGTGTTTAATTAAAAATTTTGTCTCAATAAATTGATTGACCATGGTCGATACAAACATATCCAGAACATTGTGGGCCACATTTTGATCGATGCCCATGCTCTATTTCGAGCCAATAAACAAAGCTAAGCGTGGTAAACAATATTGTTGACTACAGTTAGCTTTTATTTGATGATAACACGGCCTAAACGGCTGTCACCGCTGCGGACAACTCGTTGTGTTGTAAGATTTTAGCGAAACTATTGTACAAATCGTGACAAACGATACCGATTTTGTACAACAGTTTGATTAACACTTTTGCAACATTATATTCAATTCTTAGGCCCGGAAAGCAAATATTTAAATGTATTAAAGTGTATACAACAATGTATACTGTATATATTGTATAAATTTTTAGTTTATTAACTACATTTGTAGTTTAATTGTCAATAATAAATCAATATTTAATATTTAATAATTTTTAAATTTACTATCAATTAAATACTGTTAGTTTAACAAATTTAAAGTTAAAATAATGAATTACACGTCAGAAACTATTTGTATGCAGAGATTTATAATGAATCATTATACTTTTTATATGCGATTCTATTGTAATCTCTTTGAGAATCTGACGACTATAAATTACTATAAAATTTCTTAAATTTAATTAAAAACTATATGTTTTAATTAAATTTTACATTTTAAACATCTGGTATTAACTTTAAACATGTTGTTGTGGTTAATATACCAGTTAGTCAGTGGAAGTTTGTCCTTAACCGCAACCCAACTATAATTTCAATTACTATTATTTTGTTTTAAAGCCATATTTAACAATATTTGAACATGTTCAATTTAATCATCATTATAGTCATTATTAATACAATCATATGTAAGTCAAATATCCACTGAAAGTTTACATAACTTTCACTATTATATTATAATTAACAATTTTTTTAAATTTTATTTTATACTAAATTGAATAAATGTGTTATTTACAAAATTATGCAGTAATTGATTTTGGTTTTCGCAGCAAGCAAGAATTTGACGCATCAATAATTCCTAAATGTACTGGATCGCATAATGATTGTGGTGATCAGATCATGATGATCAACACCGCAACTGGTCTGGTGCAATGTTATTGCGTGAGTTTTATTGCAACTAAATTTATTTGAATTGATTTAATTAAACTTTAAATTGATGTGACCATGAGTTTTAACAGTCATTTTTAGGAAAACTTCTATTGCTAAATTACTATAAAATTTCTTAAATTTAATTAAAAACTATATGTTTTAATTAAATTTTACATTTTAAACATCTGGTATTAACTTTAAACATGTTGTTGTGGTTAATATACCAGTTAGTCAGTGGAAGTTTGTCCTTAACCGCAACCCAACTATAATTTCAATTACTATTATTTTGTTTTAAAGCCATATTTAACAATATTTGAACATGTTCAATTTAATCATCATTATAGTCATTATTAATACAATCATATGTAAGTCAAATATCCACTGAAAGTTTACATAACTTTCACTATTATATTATAATTAACAATTTTTTTAAATTTTATTTTATACTAAATTGAATAAATGTGTTATTTACAAAATTATGCAGTAATTGATTTTGGTTTTCGCAGCAAGCAAGAATTTGACGCATCAATAATTCCTAAATGTACTGGATCGCATAATGATTGTGGTGATCAGATCATGATGATCAACACCGCAACTGGTCTGGTGCAATGTTATTGCGTGAGTTTTATTGCAACTAAATTTATTTGAATTGATTTAATTAAACTTTAAATTGATGTGACCATGAGTTTTAACAGTCATTTTTAGGAAAACTTCTATTGCATAACTCCTGACCCATACACTCTGTATCCCTCAGTAACAGCTATAATAGGTTGTTCAGAAATTAATGTTCATTTCGGCCATAACTCAAAAAGTAATCAAGATAATTTGAATCTGTCTTCAGATTATAATAGCACTAGCCCATGTCTACATCTCACCAAAAATTTATCAGGATTGATTAATATTTAGAGTGTTTATTTTGAAAAAAACTGACAAAAAAATTGTTCAAAAAAGTTATTGAAATAGGAAAACTTTTTTCTCGTTTGATAA